TAGGTCATTTAAATTTTTAAATTTTTTTTTTTTTTACATAATTGTGCATTTTTAATTTTATTATGAGTGAAGAAATAAATGTCAAAAAAGCTTGTTATACTAAGTGAAATTGGACATTGCATTGTTGGATAGTTTATTTGTTACAATGTGCTCGGTTGTACAATTTTGCTGCAGTATGTATAATCTGCACAGACATGCATTATATATAACAGAATATGATATAATATTATATAATAGTATAATATAGTATAGTATAATATATTCTTATGTCTCTGCATTTTCTTGATGCTTCAGATTTTTTATTTTATTTTATTTTATTTTTTTGGACTACGCAAAACTTTCAGCTAATTATAGAAGAGAAAATGAAAAAGACAATAAAAAGAGGGCAAAACCTTTAAGAGAAGAAAAGAAACGTGTTTCTCGGTGACATGGAAGACCTTATTCTCCTGTGGACTGTGACGGTTTGTCAGAGCCAAACAGCTCTGGGGCGATGTCAGCCATTCCCAGAATTCAATTCATCTCCTCATTTAAAACATCCCAGAGAGAGAGAGAGAGAGAGTTGATGAGGGAAGGGTTGTAATATGATCGATGGACTAAAACATCTCTCAGTAATTGAGACCGAAAATGAATCTACTCTTTTCAATTCTGAGAAATTCAACCTGATACTGAACAAGATACAAGATGAGGAATAGAAAAAAGAGACAAACATGGAGACCTGAGCTGAATGCCAATTCATGTATCCAATGCAAGATTAGGATTAATGCATCCCAAACTATAGTGTGCTGAAAATCACACGCAAAAGCTGTATGGATTCTGTACTATTTATTGAATTAATTTTTGCTAAACTTATGCTTGCATGCAAAAATAAACAGTATTTGACGTGATCTAAAGTATCATGATGCAAGTTTGTTTTTGTTTTTTTTCCAATTAAAAAATGTGTTACACTGCCTTAAATGTTTGTTGAGTCAACTTGAAAAGTGATGTCTTTTTAATTGGCAACTTGGATATTTGAGTATCTCAACAATCCAGAGAAGTTATGCTAATGCTAAATTTGAAAGGGGTCATATGATGCTGCTAAAAAGAATTTTATAAAGAATATATCTTTGGATTTGAGACTTTAGTCTTTGCAACTTTACAGATCTTCTTTATGCACCAAGAGCTTGTAACACTCCAAAGAGAAAGGAACAATTGAAATCGCATCATATGACCCCTTTAAGTAAATAGTTGCCACAGTCACTTTTTACAATTAGTACTGTCTTCATACTCAAATGTACATACTTTCCAGTCATCACCAGCAAAGTACACGTCAAAAATATTAAGCCTAAATTTAAGATTTTTATACTTAAATTGCATAAAAATGTGCATCCATTTGGATTACACCGTTTAAATTTGTGATGCATATTTCTCAGTCATACATAAATGAAACAGGTCAGATGTCTGTTCTAGTACTAATAAACTTAACTTTTTTAAATACACAATAAGTGGGTTAATATATTTATCATCAATAAATCCAGTTTGTTTCAATCTCATATACTTTAATTATTCCAATATAGCAATATTTGAACCATGTTCATACTTTTTTACAATGAACAGATTTATGCAGATTCTAAGCAATTTGAATAAATGCATTTTAAAAATATGATTACTTAAAAATCAAATAGATTCAAATAATAATAATATACGATGTCAGGATTTTTTTAAAAATCTGCCTGTTTTCTGAGTTGGTGGAGAGAACTAAATAAATAAAAGTGGTATTTTACAATCATAACCAAATCATAATCATCATTAATCAAGGGCAATAAAAGCCTCTCAAGATCCAGAAGCAGAAGCATGTGTATCATGTCAGCCCACCACATCAGAGCGCGAGAGTGAATGACTCATTGACCTGCCGGTCATGCTCTAGTTTACATATCAAATGAATTCTCCTCCATGTGTGTCGGGTCAGAGATGAATTGACCTGGAATATCTCGCAACCAATTTATTTCGTTAGGAGCCGTGAGACTGGAATCACACGGCCTCAGCGAACACACACACACACACACAGATCTTCTGTACCTCAGTGTTTGACAGTCCAATTCAACAGCAAATTATGCCAAGAAAATCAATGAATAGTGATTTAAACATACAAAACATATCTATTATTACTGTCTGAAAACACACCAAACACCTTTCATTGTGCCTGTGCTTTTCAGGATAATCAACTTACACTCGAAAAAAATTAATTAATTAATAAAAAAATAGGCCTACATTTAAGATTTATGTATTTGAATTGCATATAAAATCTCCAGCCTTTGGATTACAGTTTTAACATAAACGAATCAACGTAATGTGATGCATATTTGACAGTCATACATAAATAAAACAGGTAAGATTTCCGCACTCAAGAAATCATGGCATAGTTTATTTTAAACTATTTGCATCTGTTTTTTATTTTATTTAATCATATTTTCAAAATGCATTTATTCAGATAGCTTAGAATCAGCATATATTAAATATGAACTTGGTAAAAAAAAAAAAAAAGGCTTTAAAAAAAAAAAAAACTAAAAAATGTTACAATTTATGATATATAAAAAAAGGATTTATTGATCATAAATATATAAAAGCCAGTTATTGTGTATTTTAAACACATTCAGTTTATTAGTATTGTTACAGAAATCTGACCATTTATGACTGACTGGCAAATATGCAGTACATCAAATTTATAAATTTATGTTCAAACTGTGTAATCCAAATGGATGGAAATTTTTATATGCAATTCAAATACATAAATCTTCAATTTAAGCCTAAATATTTTTCTCTGGGTCACAAAAAAGTATTTTAACATAAAAAAAAAAAATACACTTAAGAATTAACATGCCTTAACAAAAGTACATTCTTTACATTTCTGCTCTTTACCTGTCCAGACTTGGTATGATATGATTAAAATTTTAAGAATTTTTTTAATAAATGCATCTCTTATTGTTTTTATCAAACTGAGAAATGTCAATTTTATTGGGTCGGATTCACGAAACATTCTTAAGAATGAAATTCTTCTTAACTGCTATATATTCTAAGTTAAGAATATTTAGAATTTTCATTTTGAATTTTAAGAATATTATATTCCCAAAAACATTTCTTAAGAATGTTCTTATCTTTTTTCTGAAGACTGTTCTAAAGACAAAACTTTTTTGTAAACATCATCATAACTTCTTGAAGTTAGGGTTACCTGTAACTTGTATTAAATCTGAATTTTTCTTCTCAAAAACATAACATTTTTGAGAATGTCTTAAGAATTTTTCAAGAATTACCCTTAGGAACATTCTTAGGAACTACTTTTAATTTTTTTTGTGAATCTGGCCGGTTGTCTGTAATAGTTGATAGCCATAGATATTATCTATACACATTATATTACCAAAACAAAAAAAGTGAGAGGCTCCTGTTGCTTCAGCTAATTGCACAATTGTTGCTTTTAAATAATACAACAAAGCCTAATAAATAACCTCACACACAATCATGCAGCATTTCGCTGAACATGAACACATTCAAATCCCAACAGCAGTGAGAAAAACAAGTGCAGAGGGAACACACACACACACTTTATTAAAGATTATGTTTATTAATACTTTAACTCTGAACCCTTCTGCTGTATACTGGGTAAATAGAGGGGTATTTACAGGACATCATCATATATGCTCTAATAAAATATGCATACATATATAACTGACTTTTGATCAATAAAAAGAACAAACATTGTCGGTTGATAGCACTGTAGTGTTTAAAACAAATGACAAACATTAGAAATCAGAACATTTGACAGGGTTTCTACAGGTCTTAAAAAGCCATAATTCACCCTTCCACAAATTAAGGCCTTAATTCAAAGCAAAAAATAAAGTTACAGCATTAATGTTGCATGCGAAAACCCTGTTCTAATCAAACATATGAAGTCTTGTTTTCTGAAATTGAGTAAAATGAAGTGAGTTTATGTTTAAAGCAAGAACAAATATCTGTCATTCGGGAATGAAAACTTGTGTCCCTCGTGACGTAGACATGTGGGGGCGTGTTAGAACGAGCCGTTTTAGGTAGGCGTGGCTGACTCTTAACTTTTATAAAGAATATCTCTTTGGATTTGAGACTTTAGTCTTTGCAACTTTACAGATCTTCTTTATGCACCAAGAGCTTGTCACACTCCAAAGAGAAAGGAAAAATTGAAATCGCATCATATGACCCCTTTAAGATGATTTTTCTGAGCCCATTGGCAGATGTTTGTTCTTGTTTTAATCATGAACTCTCTTGATTTGGATAAATTTTTTAGAAAACAAGACTTCTTGTCTTACGTAATTTTGCTTCTCAAGTAAATGTATCTTGATTTAAGAATCGTCAAGACTTTTTTGCAGGGTGATCAGAAGGATCAGTAAAAGTTATTTCCATTCTTTAGTGTTTAGGAGCAGAGCTATTCAAACCTTTAGCTTTTTTTGTGAAATCAATAAAGTAGGCTAATGTATTCGCAACACTTCAAACTCTGAAAATACAACTTTCAACAGATCTACAAGACATTTACATTTAGACACCTTATCGACATATTGTTTTCCTTGCATTTTATTCCTTAGATTTCCTTTTCCTGGTTTTATAAAGTCTTATATTTACTTTCAGAAAACCTGCAGAAACCCTGTTTTAGAAACATCTGCGTGTACTAGAAATGTTCAAATTCATGAATATTTTTACGACCTGAATAATTCATGAGCAGCATGATTTCGGCTGACTTAAAAGAAAAAAAATTATGGAAAATATTAAGTTTCACTTTGCTCAGAGGGCTTTAATTTGTTGGTTTTGCTTATTCAGCTGATTTCTGTTTGTCAGTAAAACTATAAATTAACGGCAAAGTAGGTCAGTAAAATGATAATAAAACGAAAGAACGGACGGTAAAATGCAGCATTGGTCTTTTGGGGTTTTGATTCTGCAGGAACCTGAAGTTCTCGTGAAGTTTTGCAGATGAATTTGTCACCACTGTCTCTTTCTCTTAAAAATGTTCTGCTCTGCAGAGTGTTCGATAAGGCTTGTTACCATGGAAACCGAGACATGGCGGCAAGGTCGCATCTCCGCCGCTGACACAGATAAACAGAGACGAGAGGAGACGTGAATGAGATGAGAAGGGAAGAAACGTGATGGAAAGACCTGAAAGAGATGGGATGAGGTAGAATGGAGAAGCGTTCCTCTGGGACCCTCTGGAGATCTTCTTCAGGACCTGAAACACGCCGAGCAGGTTCCTCCGCGGCTGGACTCCTGCTGCGGCGAGATGGTTTCTGCAACCTCTGACTGCAGCAGATCATTCTCATTAGCTATAATGTGCTTCACCAGACAGTGTGCGGCCTCATCTATATTAATATTCTCCTGCAGAGAGAGAGAGAGAGAGATAGTACCTTTCCTGTCAGTGTTCACACACCTCGTCTCTGGCAGTGACTGCATTAATTAGCTCGTGAATATTCATGACATACTGTAGCCGAAGGACTGTGAGTCAGCAGAAAGTGTGTGAGCGGTAATCATCTTCACACAGAAACACACCTGATTCACCACAAATGTAGTAATGATGCTGAAAATTCAGCTTTGATCACAGCGATAAATTACATTTTAAAATATATTCATAATAGAAAACAGTTATTTTAAATTGTAATAATATTTCACAGTATTACTGTATTTACTGTATTTTTGATCAAATAAATGCAGCCTTGGTGAGCAGAAAAAACTTCTTTCAAAAACATAAAAAAATGGAACCGACACCAAACTTTTGAACAGTAGTGTAGATTCAAATAACACTGTAAGTTTGAACATGAACAAGTATAAATGAGATTTGAGAATTTTAACCTTTGTTTTCATTAGGGATGCACCGATACCATTTTTTAAAGACCGAGCTGAGCCTGACATTCTGTCGCTGCTGCCAGAGTCTCTGCACTGAAAGTTCTGTCGATGACGTCACGGGGTATCGGTCTTTGGTATCGGAGTGTTTTTACGAGTACGAGTACATGAGCTCAGTATCGGGCCCGATACCGATACCAGTATCGGTATCGGTGCATCCCTAGTTTTCATTTGAGGAGTCTGACCACAAGTTTCTGGGCAAGTAGGCTAAATGATGACAGAATTGTAATCTTTTGGTTAAAAAGATGGAATAAAAAAAAATTTAAATAAAAAATTTAAAAGGTAATTGCGACTTTTTTATCTCACAATTCGGACTTTTTGTGCAATCTCGTAATTGCGAAAAAAAAATCTCAGAATTACGAGATAAAAACTCACAATTCTGTGGGTTTTTTCCCCACCACAGAATTAAAAAATTCAACTTTTTCTCACAATTGTGACTTTTTTTCTTGCAATTGTGACAATTCGGACTTTTCTTCTCAGAACTGAGTGTTAACATCTTGAGTTTATATTGAGTTTTGCCATGGAATAAAAAATAAAAAGGTAATTGAGACTTTCTATATCTGAAATCAGATTTTTTTTTCTCAGAATTGTTAGTTTATACAGTATCTCACTTGAACTATAAGTTTTATAGACTTGTAATTGCAAGTTTAACATCTTGCAATTGTTTTTTTTTTTAAAGTCAGAATTGTGAGAAATAAACTCAGTATTGTGAGATAAAAAGTGGCATTTACAGTTTTTTTTTTAATTCCATGGCGGAAACAAGCTTCCATGAACGAGTGTGTCGTGTGTTAAATGAGTCTTTCAACCAATTAAACCACAGACAAATCATAATCGCATCATATGACCCCTTTAAGGCTTGTTCACACCGGGACGAATATCGCGCACGATTATCGCCGACGTTTAGCGCCTCGTTACTAAACAAAGGGCCCCAATGTGAGTGTGCACACCGACGCGCAAAACGCGAAGCGTAAAAGCGTCATTTTTTAAAAACGCCTCTGGCTCATTTTTTTGGTTTGACGTGCCGGGTTAAAAACTGTCCGACCAATGAGATCGGCGCTTTTGTTCACGTGCCTGGAGCTGCTGAAGTTACAGTAAAACACGACTTGGTGGCGCTCAAGCACAAAACGGTCTTGCCGAGCACACATTGATACCTAACGACGAAGAGGAAGTAAGTAGACCAAGAAGATGCATCGAGGCAAGATGAATGTAGAGCTGCTGGTCTCATTGGTGTCTGAACACAAAGGGCTTTATGACAAACGCGACAGCGACTACAAAAATCTCGATAAGAGGGAGTTGTTATGGAGAGGAATTGCAGATCAAATAGAATTCGATGTGTACCGGGGTATTTCTGTTTTTCATTAAGCGCCATCTAATGTCAGGGAGTGAATTTGCATGTTCACTCGGCTCATCGCCAGCGAAAAATAACTTGGGTATGAACACAAAAGACGCGTCGAAAAACGTCAGCGATAAGCGAGCAAGCGAGCGGTGTGTACGAGGCTTTACCCTCACCATGACCTCTCACGTGACCTTTTAACCTCTGTGCACACTGATCTTGAATATCTGAAGACTCTGATGGTGATTTGAGATGATTCATGATGTACCTTGGCTGACGTCTCAAACCATCCCACGAAGCCGTTCTCCTGGCAGAACTGCTCCATCTTGATGCCATTGTTGGTGAGAACGTCTCTGCCCTGATTGCACTTGTTGGCGAGCAATACGGCCGCCACGTGTTTGCCGTTGGATAAACTCAGCTTGGCGTCGAGATCCTCCTTCCACCTTGTCACCGCCTCGAATGTTGACGGCCGTGTGACGTCGAAAACGATGAAGGCTCCCATGGCCTCTCGATAATACACCCGCGTCATGTTCCCGAAACGCTCCTGGCCTGCGGAAGAGAATGAATCAGAACAAACCGCATGACAGATAAAGTCTTCTGTAAATCGCAGCTATATAGGTCATGAACATACATACATTTCACCGTGACTTCATGATGATCACAGCAGAACTCAAAGACAACAATGAGAGGTTTATCTTCAGCTGAAGCCTTGGGTGAATGCGCTAGAACCTCAGTCTCTTTGCTTTTTCTTTTCTCTGATCCACGTGATCGTACTTTGAGATTCTTGTACACATTTCCAAGGGTCCGAACTAAAGCCTGGATATCATTAATGAGGAAAAGCACATTCCAGCAGCTCATATTGATCAACTCCACTGAGCTCCAGCCTCACGCCGTTAAACTTAAAACTCAGTGCTCAGGATTAGTGTCAGAAGTTACTGGAGCAGCGGAGTGAAGACTGAGAAACTATGAAGAGAGCAATGGAAACTACCCAGCTAGCAAAGTTCTCTCAAAGTTAAGAATAAAGTTCTTCCAAGAACTTTTGTTCAAATTATGTGGTCTTTAATAACATTCTAAAAATGTTAGCACACAACCATTATCTGTACATCGTTCATGGAATGTTTTTTCTGAGACACGTTTGTCTAACATTTTTTAAATGTAGCTATTTGTTTCAGAATATTCAGAGAATATTTAAAAGTAATGTTCCATAATGTTTGCAAAATTCTGAAATGGAATGTTCCCTTAATGTTTGCATAAACAATTATTTTTTTTTATTTTTTTTTAAACTGGACCTTTTGAACGTTTAGAAAACATTCAGAAATAATTTCTTCATAACTTAATGGGAACGTTAGCAAAACGTTTCCAGAACACATTTTAGTCAGCTGGGTAGTGCAGCAACATGAGACGTCCAACAGCGGAGAGATAAATAGTTGCCATTTACAACAAGAGAAATTATGCTTTCTTTACAGTAAATGGCTTTTTGATATCAAATGGAATGACATTCAGTCATGTAAACGTTTTAAGTGCCCAAATACCTCTGTAATTGAGTTGATTTGTTTTTTTTTTCCTCTTAAGAACGGCTTCACAATGGCAAATCACGCTCCTGTCTGATGTCCCTGCTCATTTCATCGATTTACAACAACATTACTGTTTTCCTTCAGTTTTTTTTAGGTGGAAATCTCCCTCACATGAGCGACGAACACATCTATCTATCTACCATGCAAGTTATGAACTTTGACAAATTAAGAGTAAACAAAAAATAACGTAAAAATACGCACAGTGTCAATATCTAAGGCTGTACATATACAAATTAATACATTTATAAATTCATTGTGTAATTATTTAGTTTTTATTATTATTGTTGTTGTTATACGTAATTTTAAACAAATTTTAGGCACAGAAGAAGAGTTTGTTAAAAAATAATAAAAAAATAAAACTAATAATAAAAAAGTGTAAATTACCGGCGATGTCCCAGAGTTGCAGTCGGACGGTCTCCTGGGCGAGGTTGAGAACTTTGAGCGCGAAATCCACGCCGATCGTCGCGCGGTAGTTCGGTGAGAAGTTCTGGTGCACGTAGCGCTTGATGATGCTAGTTTTCCCCACACCCAGATCCCCGATCACCAGGATTTTATACAAGTGTTCCTTCAGGTGATGGTTCTGCATGGCTGTGTGAGACGGAGCCGAACATGGACGCGTGTGATCCGCGGCCAGACTCTGAGGGAAGAAACAGAAACGCCCGCGGAGAGAAAAGCGCAACTTGTGACTCGTCAGTGGAGCATGAGACCGGAGACGGAGGGGTATGGTTAACTTCATCATCGGTATGGTAATCACAGTTGGCGAAAAAACATCATCAATACAGTTAGATTAAACACTAACAAAGAGTACCAGATACCACCGCTGTGAAATGTATTTACCATGATCAACGCCCTCAAAAACTGACACGTTTTCTTCACCAGTTACAGTGGTAAAGGTCTCAAAACTGTGCGAAGACTTAAGTGTAGGACCTATTGTAAGTTTACACTGATTATCCTAAAAATACAGGTACATCAGGTTAAAGTACATAAAGGTTTCAGTAATAGTAAATGTACATGGCTTCCTTCAAAATGTGTAATATTCCTTGGATTGGATATGATGGACATATGAGACAACAACTACTAGACAACTAATTCTGAAGCAAGCGGTTCCTTTAAGCTTTAAACAAGGTGTATAGAGATCATTGATGCTGTAGTTATGATAGAAATGTCAGTTGCATTACATCTCAAATGACCGAAACCCACTTGAATTCCGAACTGACTGAATTGTTAAAACTAACTGAAATTGACTTACAGAACAAGTTTATACAAATTTGATTTCATGCACTTTTCACTTAGCCTACACAAAAATCAAGTACACCTGAGGTCAAAAGTACCTTAAAAAGCAGCTTTATTAAAGATCATGACATATACAGAAGCACAAAAAAAGCAAAAAGCAAAGATTGTGATAAAACCATTGGATTCAAATACAGTATTCAACATTTGAAGTGGACCAAAACCTTTCATCAAAGTTGTCCTAAAACCAAAATGTGTTCTTGTCTTAGGACAACTTTGATGAACTATTTTGATCCACTTCAAATGCTGACTACTGTAGTCCTGAGCATCTTAACTGTTGGCAAATGACTCAAAATATACATACACATCCCTTTAGTCTACTGCTATTGATAAAGTGTGGTTCATTAAACCACAAGTACTGATTTTCCAGAGAATAATTGCCAACTTGGTATTCTCCGAATACAAAATGACTTTGTCCAATTAAAAGAGTGGTGTAAAAATTGAGGGGGCAGAGTGCAAATGTGACATTCAGAGCTCACATGGATCAATGAAAATCTGAAATCCCTTTTTTGCTTAAAAAAAAAAAAAAAAATAAGCAGCTGAGGCACACTGCAGGACCTGAAGGCATCCTACTTTCATTAGCACAGATCTAACAAGAAAAAAAATAAATTAAATGCTGTTTTCCGTCATAGAGTCCTTGTGGAAATCCACACGAACAGAACAAAAAAAAGGACAGGACAACTTTGTGTGTTAAAAAAAAAAACTAATTAAGATTTTTAGATCAATTTAAAACCATAACTAGATTCTAGAAGGGGTTGGTTTTGGGTGACAGCAACAATTGGAAGAGTTGGTGACCCAAGACAGGAACATAACAGAAGACGTATAAATTCCCTAGAGGCCAGCAAGAGAGAGAAAGACAAAGCTTTGGAGACTCGCATGGAACCAGACCAAGATGAAGACCAAAGAGAAGAACCTTGAAGTTAGTTTAAAGCTTCATAATGTATGAGGAATTGGGAAATGAGAGCGAATCAAATCTATAGAGACTTGTAACTTCACGTTCAAACGGTTTGCTACAAAAAGAAACCTGAAAGGGAGAAATATTCTGAAGTTCAATCTACATGGCCTCTTTGATCACTTAACCTGTCTGGTGGAGGTCATGGGAAAAGACCGTTTTCACTAAAAATTTAGAAGTTTAACTTGGCAACAAAGTTTAAAAAAAAAAGAACAGCACTTTCTTCCAATTTTCAGAATTGCATACTAAAAAAAATATTTCACCCGACCATGCTTGTTTCAATGGACCAATTCGTCTGCACTCTCTAAAGTTTGGCGATTGGTGTAGCAGCTACAGCAATGCTCTCAATGGCGCATTCATCCGTTCCACGACGGATTTCGAAAAACCCATTCTCGCCCCACCCGATTCCCCAGCTGTTCTTCACGATCCAGTACTTCTCGCCGGTCTTATGGCACTTCCCATACCCCACCAACAGCACGGCGTGATTCGTCAGCTCAAACGGATTGATGGAGTCACGGAGGCCGGTGTGATGGTAGATGCCCTCCTTGTAGTTCATGAAATCTGGGTAGACCTCCAGGGCCACACCCATGGGGCCGTTCCTGAGGCAGAGTGCAAATGTGACATGCAGAGCTCACATGGATCAATGAAAATCTGAAATCCCTTTTTTGCTTAAAAAAAAAAAAAAAAATAAGCAGCTGAGGCACACTGCAGGACCTGAAGGCATCCTACTTTCATTAGCACAGATCTAACAAGAAAAAAAATAAATTAAATGCTGTTTTCCGTCATAGAGTCCTTGTGGAAATCCACACGAACAGAACAAAAAAAAGGACAGGACAAGCTCGAACGGATTGTTGGAGTCACGGAGGCCAGTGTGATGATAGATGCCCTCCTTGTAGTTCATGAAATCTGGGTACACCTCCAGGGCCACACCCATGGGGCCATTCCTGACCAGCTCCAGCATCATGGCCGCCTCGCTGCAGCCGCCGTAGAACCCACCCACGTAGTGATAATCAGAGGCGTAGTACCTCGTGCATTTCTCAGGTACTTTGCAGGGAGAATCATCCCCGGTGTACGGGAAACAGTCCTCCTCCACAATGCCAAAGTCCTGGATGTATTTACCAATCAGGTATGGAAAACCTCCATCGCAACCTGTACAAAAGACAACAAAATCATTTGAAATACAGACACTAAAATCCAAAATGTTAACGTCAGAACATCCATTTAATTGCAAAATTTATGGTGGAAAAAAGAAGGGAAGAACCAGGGTTATAATAGTACCTAAATGTAAAGACATTTTCCATTACTTGAAACACATGTTAACTGATATTATTACACGGCTCTGTGGAATACTTGATTCTGATTGGCCAGTCGCGACATTCCGAGGTATGCTATCCTTACATTCTCTACGCCGCTTACATTTCTTTTCAAGAGCACTTGTGCTCTTACTTAAAAAAATAATAAAATAAAATAAAAAATTAGGAACACCTTCTGATGAATGACAGAAATTAACCTTCCTATTATAAGGCGATATTTGACTCCTTAAAAGTTTTTTTTTTTTTTAAACCTTTGTAATGCCTCTAACTTTATTAAATGTACGCCATCTTTTGTGCCAAAAAAATTGAATTATAAACTTATCAAATTTTAATTAAACAATAAATTCAATTAAAATAATAAGATACAATCAGGAAGAATAAGTTAACCTACTAGTCAAATGAAATCAGCATCAACAATTCATCTTTGCACGGCACAGAAGAGGCATTACAGACTTTTTGACAAGACTCATTAATGTATTTCATAATAACAAGGTTATGAAATTAATGTTTTAAATATAAAGTTTTGAATATAGAAATATGAAAATTTAAAATGACTCAATTTATACTTTAAAATGAAACTGAAACCACCAGTAGGTGACAGCAAGTCACTGTCTTTGTCACGGAATCATTAATTCAATAAATTCGTTCAAATGGCTGATTCATTTAGGAACAAAGCAAGTGACTCCCTTTATGACTCACTAGATTTGTTCAAGAACACAGATTCATTCATAAACGAAACAGCGCTGTGTTTGCTTGGAGATGCGCAGCGGCTCAGCTGTGATTTGTTTGGAATTATTTTAGTTGAGGAAATAGAGCATAATCAGACAACAGTGTTCCTAAAATGTAAGTCACTAAAAATTAACTTATGCATAAAACACAGATTCATTCATAAACGAAACAGCGCTGTGTTTGCTTGGAGATGCGTAGTGGCTCAGCTGAGATTTGTTTGGAATTATTTTAGTTGAGGAAATAGAGCATAATCAGACAACAGTGTTCCTAAAATGTAAGTCACTTAAAATTAACTTATGTATAAAATCAAAAATGTTGTATAGAATCTATTTCACATTTGCAAACTCCCTTTATAATCATTAAAATTATGTCACTCCTCTTAGTTCATCGCGATAATTAATGAAGCTCTCTACACTGCACACTGAATCTATTATTTACATCGTCTCTACACTT